TCTCTCTCTCTCTCTCTCTCTCTCTCTCTCTCTCTCTCTCTCTCTCTCTCTCTCTCTCTCTCTCTCTCTCTCTCTCTCTCTCTCTTAGCTCTCTTTCTCTCGAAGCTCTCTCGAAGCTCTCTAAGCTCTTTTTATGAACGTCTACAAAAGTTTGAGACGTATGATACATGGTCTACACTACAAAAAAAAAACAAAATTGTTTGTTGGAAAATGATGGTGAGCATGTAGGTACATGGAGGAAATCCACCTTGTCAACAAGCACTACAAAAAAAAAAAGGAAATTGTTTGTTGGAAAATGATGGTGAGTATGTAGGTACGTCGAGGAAATTTGCTTTGTCAACAAGGAAAAAAAAACTAAATTGGTCAATGAAAAAAATAAAAACGTCTACTCCAACTTCAATGCACGAAAAACTCTCTCACGCGCGAAAATGTTACTTCCTTGTAAACAAACGACTTATTAGCAATCTTCTGTCAACAGATGCAACAACGTCGTACGTGAATGAGGCTGGTGTGTTGCCTGTTTGCTCGGCGGAGTACACTGTCCATGTTGTTGAAGTTGGTAGTTAGTTTTGTTTTCTTGTATTTTCGTGGAACCAATGACGCATCTTGCTCTTTTATGATGACAGACGATATCCCGACTGTGATAGATGTTCGTCAAGCTACGAATTCCAACATTGCATCCCGTGCGTTCATACAATACTGTTTGATGTGTTGCTTGTACGCTCGCATCATCAAATCTTCATCGTCCCTTCACGGTATCTTGTGTCTCCATATTTTGCACATACTGTTTGCCGTTGACGATAACTTACAGCAACATATGGAACGGTTGCGCTGCATTTGTGTGGCACCATGGCAGATACAAGCCCGTAACCGTAAAACACTTGTTTGTACATTGCGATCCCTTCGTTCTTGTAAGTATTGTTGTGGTCGCATGCTTTCACGAGATTGTAAATTTTTCTTCTTACACTGCGAGGATATAAGTTCAGTGACGGCTCGTCATAGGCAAAATCCATTGTGCACTTAGCTTCCAAAATAAGAAGATGAATTGGAGATTAAGGTGCGCAAGCCTTCCGCTCTCAGACTATGGCCCCAGGCCATGCAACCACTCGTACGCACACACCTTCCTTACCGAGGTACTGGCGATCATGACTACCACATACCAACCTCCATACCACAGCAATTGTCACCCCGCCAAGGAACGCCAACTTTGCTTCCACAGCGACTTGCCCAGATCGCGCAGTCCGTCGCGGCCACCCGGCGCACAGCCTTGCAAAACTATAGTCAGCTCGTCAGGACTTTTCGACTCGCCGTACACACAAATCATCTAGCCACGACCTCCGCGAAGTTGGAGGACGAGTTGAGAGAGAGTTTCATGGATGCGCTTGCGGGTTTCATAGTTGTGAAGTGGGAGATAGAAGATAGGAGGGAATGGGGCGGAGGTACAAAGGGGTGACGAGAGAGTTTGGGTTAATCACGAGGGAAAAGCCATATCGATCCCCGAGAGTTTCTTCGCAGACAATTAGATCACAGCGTGAGGGCAGTATCCTCCTTACACGATGCCGTCTGGCGGCTCGAACACTCTCGGGGGGGGGCTCGGTAGGGAGTTCCTGTATGGGGATGAAGGCGGGAAAACGACCATTTCGTCAAAATGGACATTTTTCAGTTTTTTGAACGAAATTGAAACCGAGTTTTTTGGCCGAAAACTCGTCAAAATTTGGTGTTCCTAAGGGTCCAGTGTTTTACAAACGCTGGACCCCCTGGCTGTACATGGACCTAGCTTTAGACCAAGCACCTTCAGGCAGGACTGCCTGTGGAGGTACCTGGTCTCAAGCGAGGTCCATGTACAGCCAGGGGGTCCAGCGTTTGTAAAACGCCGGACCCTCAGGAACACCAAATTTTGACGAGTTTTCGACCAAAAAACTTGGTTTCAATTTCGTTCGAAAAATAAAAGATGTCCATTTTGACGAAATGGCAGTTGGAAGAAGGAGGGTGCGGAGAGTAGTGCGGAGCGGGATAAGCATTCAGACGAAAAGAAGAGGGAGAGAAGCGCAAAGGGAAAGGGGATGGAGAACGGTTACGGCTGGAGGAAAAAAGGCGCGAAGAAGAGAGAGGTGAAGATGGCATGGGGCATAGGGGGGAGCGGGGGAAGTTTGCATGCATGGCACTGACGCAGAGACAAAAAGACACTAAAACAGTAATGTTGCGTCCATTCTCACTCGAAGATGGCATGGGGCATAGCGGGAAACGGGGGAAGTTTGCTTGCATGGCGCCGGCACAGAGACAAAAAGGCACTAAAACAGTTATGTTCCGTCCATCCTAACTCTAAAACTAATTAAACATCGAGAAATTCAAAAACAATATTCGCACGCGAGACTGGATTCGTACTGAACATACATAGAGCCTTCAATTGCGAATTTAGGAACATTCACTTGCAAGAAAGGACACGTCAGCGGGGAGTGCGGCCGCAAATTCCAGAACTCCCAATTGTCAAACAAAATTCCTTGCGTGCTCACTGAGGCGCCTGTAAGTCTGACGTAAATTCATGGATCACTGGAGGCAAATTGCAAAAAAGTTTGAGGAAGACAACAATTCTTAAAAGTGGGAGGGCCTTGTCGGCCGTTGTTTCCATGCATCCTCCTACAACCAAAAAGAAGGGTACCCCTAAAGCCCATTAGAGGTCGAGAAAGCACGAATAGCAAAGCTCAGGGCTTGAGAAGGTCGTTCAGATACAGAAGCTGGTACGTAACATAATGTCCGCATGTTCTCAGAATCCTCAACAGAAGGTACTAATGCTTTGTAGCCTTCAGTACCAGACGACTACTACAAATGTTTTCACATCCGTCCTCC